CCGCGCGGGTTTCCTCCTGGGATGCTAACAGCTTACCGCGTGGGACCCAACGGCCCACAGGGCGTCGGGAGGGGGCGCAAGGGCTGAGGTGAACGCTGGATGGCATCCAGGGAAGCCGGAGCCTAAAAAAAACCCTGTGCGCTGGGGACGCGTCTCCCAGAATGCAACGCGGAGCGCTCCTAATGGAGCCGCGCCTCGGGGGCCTCTGGGAAATGTAGTCCAGAACCCGGGAATCCGCGAAGATGGAAGCGGCTCACCTCGCCGGCGTGCCACTCTCCAAGGTCCAAGGAGCGTTGTCGCAGAGGCTTCTGGGAAACGCAGTTCACAGGGCGATGCCCTGGGGCTGGAAGCGGGGCCTTCGGAAGGCGCCTTGCCCCGTCCCCTAGAGGACGCGTGCCTCCAGAATCTACCAATGCTGGGAGCACTGCCCACCCTTCAGATTTCTCCTAGCAAAAATTCAGGCCCCCTGCTAAAGACAATGTGCCACCAACTCCTGGGAGCATGTCAAGGAAGGAATCGGCAAAAGAAAAGATGGGCCCTGACCGGTTTGGCTCAGTGGATAGAGCGTCGGCCTGTGGACCAAAGGGTCCCGGGTTCGATTCCGGTCAAGGGCATGTGCCTTGGTTGCGGGCACATCCTCAGTGGGGGGTGTGCAGAAGGCAGCTGATCGATGTTTCTAACTCTCTATCCCTCTCCCTTCCTCTCTGTAAAAAATCAATATAAAAAAATGGGAGTCCTGAGGTGTGATTGTTCCTCAACGTGCATTTTGGACCCTTCCATTGGGGTAGCTAGATAGCAATGTGTATAATGTTACTTTGGGATTATAGTTGATTCTTGAACGACATAGGTTTGAACTGCCAGGGAGGGCTTACACTGGGATTCTCTCCCTGACCCTCCCCCCCCCCCCAAAAAAAATACAGTCAGCTCTTCCTGTTCATGGGTTTTGCATCCAGGGAGTCAACCAACCAGTTAGGAACAGTATTTTGATCCGGTTGGGAATTCCTGATGCAGAGGGCTGACTGTATGCATTATTCTACCCACTTTTATATAAGGGCCTTAGGGACTTGAGCATCCATGGATTTTGGTATCCGCAGGGGTCCTGCAACTCATTCCCCATGGTATCCAGAGCCGGGTGTAGTTTTAAAGTTTGGAGGGGGGGGTGTTTGTTTGTTTTTGTGGAGGAAGGGGTGTCAAAAGTTATGCAGGTTTGCCCTAGCTGATTTGGCACAGTGGTTGGACGGTGGGCCAGAAAAGGGTCCCAGGTTCAATTCCGGTCAAGGGCACATGCGGGGGTTTTGGGCTTGATCCCCAGTAGGGGGTGTGCAGGAGGCAGCCCATTAATGATTCTCGCTCATCATTGATGTTTTTATCCCCTCTCTCCCTTCCTTTCTGAAATCATTAAAGATATATTTTTTAAAAGAATTCCTAATCCCCATCTACTATTAAGTAGTTGATTTTAAGATTAATTGAGAATTTCCCCTTAAATCATTGTTATTTTTTAAAATTTTCGATTTCTAATTCTGAGATTCTTTTACATCCATTAATTGGTAAGTTTTTGGCTTCCCTTTATAAAGTGGGACTATGTGGTTACATCTGATATTGATCTCATTGGAAAGGCAGGATGTTTGTGTTTGCCTCTTTTTTTTTTATAGAGTTAGATTAGAAAGAATGAGCTTCTTTTTTTTAAAATATATTTTATTGATTTTTTACAGAGAGGAAGGGAGAGGGTTAGAGAGTTAGAAACATCGATGAGAGAGAAACATCAATCAGCTGCCTCCTGCACCTCCTACTGGGGATGTGCCTACAACCAAGGTTTATGCTACTGACCAGAATTGAACCTGGGACCCTACAGTGTGCAGGCTGACACTCTATCCACTGAGCCAAGCCGGTTAGGGCTAGAAATGGTATTATTAATACACACCAGCATATCCATTTCAGCAAGCAAGAGTAGGGAGGGCGGGATATTTATGTCTCTGGGTGGGTCGGATGGAGGTGCAGGCGGTTGCAGGAAGCTGGGTCTAGAGCTGCTTTTCTCAGCTGCTTAGTTGTCTCCTGTGACACCTGAAATGAGAATAACAGGAAAACAGCAGAGAGGACAGGAGCCTCCAGTGGGGACAATAGAAAGTACTGAGCACAGGGGAGAAACTGAGGGCAAGGGAAAGGTACAGACTATGCCTAACTGTTAGGTCCTAACAGGGTTTGGCTGGCCTGGGACCCAATGTGCTGCTGGATCTGCTGCTGCTGCATGGCTGCGGGGGGCACAAGCGTCCCTGAGGCTGCTGGAACTGGGCGTGTCCTGCCAGGCCTGCAGCCATGCCAGCGCTGCCTTCCTGCTGCTGCTGCTGCTGCTGCTGCTGCTCTGCGGCATCTCTCTGTGCTGTGGTTCATTCTCGCCACGCTGGGGTTGCGCCCCGGGTTCATGATGTTCAAGGCCTGGCCCTGGGGGTTCAGGCCTCCCATTGTTGCTGCTGCAGAGGGACAGCAGGTCGGGGCCCGCTGGCTTGCATGACGTTCAGGTGCTGCAGGCTGGGCTGCAGGCTGGGCTGGATCTGAAGGTTAGTGGGCTTCCCCGTGGACACTGATGGGGGCGAAGTTCTGGCCGAGCTGAAGAAGCCGGCTAGTGACATGCTTACAGGCCGGGGCTGGGACCGAGTCGGAGGCTGTGGTGTCTGGGGTGTGTTGGGCTGCTGTGGGGGTGTCCAGGGTGGTGCTCAAGGAGGGGATGGCAGACTGCTGAGGCACGTTACGGGTGTTGCTGGTGGCATCCGCTGGCGCACGAGCTACCCCTGCTGCAGGCGGTTCCCAATCCGCTGCTGGCGGAGCCAGAGGCGCTGCTGGCGGAGCCGGAGGCGCTGCTCGCGGAGCCTCTGTTTGATGTCGAGGCAGAAGGGAACGGGGCACGGGTTTCCTTGGCAGTGTTTGGCATGGTGGCAGCAAAGGGCGATTAGCTGCTTGCACACTGGGCAGCCTCCACTGGCCTTACGCTGGCAGCGCGTGGTGTGCAGCACAACATCTTTCATCTTCTGGCAGTTGGCCCGAGAGCAGTTGGCGTCGAGGCACTGGCGGGTATGCCTCAGGGTCTGGATGCAGCGCAGGATGCTCAGGCGCCGAGCCTCCTGGATGCTCCTGAACTGCATCTCCCCCTGGTTGCCGCCCTCATCCAGGCCCAGCCCCACCTTCAACATCTTGTGGGTGTGGCCCTTGGTGTTGTAGCAGTGGATGCAAAGGTCGTAGTCCTCGCACCCGGGGCAGTGCCAGCCTGTCTCCACCCGCTGCTTGCACTCAGTGCAGGTGAGGACGCAGCGGTCCTGGCCCTGGTTGTGCGACTCCACCAGCATCGCTAGGCAGCTCTCTTTGTCCTCGTGCAGTTCCTCCTTCGCTCCTTCGGCGACCCTCACAAATTCCTGAAAGCTTTAAGAAGAAAAGAAAAGCTGGAGCCATGCATTTTAATTGAATCAAGTTACAGAAATGAATATTCCTTATATTGGCCCAAATGCTCACAATAATAGCAATGATAATCCTCTTTACAGCACCTTCTGCTTTCTTTTAAGAAATTTTATCCTCACCCTGGCCGGTGTGCTCAGTGGTTAGAGAGCCAGCCTGCGCACAAAAGGGTGGAGGGTTCAATTTCTGGTCAAGAGTACATATCTCAGTTGCAGTTCACTCTCCACCCCACATCAGGGCACCTGTGGGAGGCAACAATTCGGTATGTCTCTTTCACACCAATATTTCTCTTTCTCTCTCCTTCCTTCTTTTCCTTCCTCTCTCCCTTCCTTTCTCCCTCCCTTCTACTCTCTCTCTGAAGAGCAATGGGAAAAATGTCCTCAGGTGAAGATTAACAACAAAAAAGGGGGGCAAAATGAAGACATTTCCAGATGAATAATATGTAAACTTTTAAGATTCATTAAGAAACCAACCCAGTTAAAAAAAGACATGGGAAAAAGAACTTGAATAGACATTTCACCAAAGAGACAGGAATGAGAATATGATCAATATTATTAGGCATTTGGAAAATACAAATCAAAACAATAATGAAATGTTACACCCACTACAATACAAAGAGTGAGAATATTTTTACGTGGGCTGTGGGGACACTGAAAGCCTTCTCTATTTTTGCTCAGAATGTAAAACAGTACAGCACTTTCCATTAAAACAATCTATATATTTAAGGGAAATGTATTATTTTCTAGGAGATTATGTTACAAATACTGATTGAAAAATAACTGAAAAATCTGAATAACCAATTTTATTTTTTCCTTTCGCCGTCTACAGTTTTGTTCTCTGTAAGAAAATAGTCTCTCCCACCCTAACTGGTTTGGCTCAGTGGATAAAGCGTTGGCCTTCAGACTGAAGGGGCCAAGGTTAGATTCCGATCAAGAGCACATGTCCTGGTTTGCAGGCTCAATCCCCATTGGGGGGTGTGCAGGAGGCGCCCAGTCAATGATTCTCTCTCTCATTGATGTTTCTCTCTCTCTCTCTCTCTCTCTCTCTCTTACTCTCTGAAATCAATAATATATATATATAAAACAGGTAGTGTTACAAAAAAAAGATACCTGGAACAGGGCCTTCAATCCCGCATGCCCATCAGCCGTTGTCTTCTTACCAATCCTTCCTTGCTCTCATTCAAGAAATAGGACTTAGTCTGCCTTAAAGAAGTCAGTCAAGGACTAAGTTTGTTTTTTCTGGAGATCACTTTAGTAGAATTGTTGGTCTGTAGGGACCCATGGGACATCCCTCTGCCTGGAACCATATACTAGTACTAGAGGCCCAATGCATGACATTCATTTGTGCACTGGGGGTCGGGGGGAGGTCCCTCAACCCTGCCTGCGCCTTCTTGCAGTCTTGGACCCCTCAGGGGATGTCATCCCGCCGGCTTAGGCCTGCTCCCGGCAGTCGGACATTTCCCCAGGGGTTTTTAATGCTGCTGCAAAGGCAGGAGAGGCTCCCACCACCGCTGCTGCGCTTACCAGTCCCGAGCCCAGCTTCTGGCTGAGCAGCGCTCCCCCTGTGGGAGCACAATGACCACCAGGGTGCAGCTCCTGTGTCGAGTGTCTGCCCCCTGGTGGTCATTGCAAGTCATAGCAACCAGTCATTCCACCGTTTGGCCAATTTGCATATAAGGGTTTTAGTATATAGGATCTCTCAAACTTTGCTTTCACTTTTGCTGACCTGTTTTCCGTTAACGCCTTTTTTTTTTTTCGATTTTGCGAGACAGCGAACTCGGGTCCGAACACAGCACTTTGGTTTCACTAGTGCGGGAGGAATCCCACCTCCTTCCCACCTTCTGCCGTCATCTCCACAGCCTTCAGTTATTACGCGTCCAGAGACACCCGTGGGCCTCGCTCTTCACAGCCCTGCCCTCCCCATCGGTTCCTCCACGACAACCCGTTTCCGACCGAGGAGGCCAGACCGGCTCCACTCAAAAATCCCAGACGTCACCCGCGCTCAAACATCTCCAGGGTTTTGTCCCTAGTCTGACCACATCTCTGACATCTCGGGTCCTACCAGCTTCGTTGCTCGTCCCCAGGCTCCTCCAGGCCTCAGTTCCTGGGCGCTCGCGCCTGTGGGAACTGCACTTCCGGTAAGATGGCCGCCCCCATGGTGCTCCGCGGCAAGGCCCATGAGCACCGCCATCTTTCCAGTCCTGGGGGGTGGGGGAGGGGCGGATGGAGGGACTAAATAAAACACAACCAGCTCCGCGTTGGCTTTCGATAGGTTCCGGCCTCTGAAAACTTACTCAGCACAGCGTTGCTCACCAACGGGGAGGCTATGACGTGTCCAAAAGGTGATTTCAAAATTCTCTTGAAAGGCGAACGCCGTCCATGTTGACCGCTTGGGACGGGATCCGAGGGGAGGTGGGCGTGGCCACTGTACGTCACAGAGCCACAGGTGGGCGTGGCCACGGTACGTCACAGAGCCACGCCCACGGCTGCAGCCGGAACGTCCGGCAGCGTCCCTAGCGACAGTCGGAGGGAGGACTCGGGTGCGCCAGCGGCGGATAGAAATCGTTGCGGAAGTGAGTTGAGCCTTTGGCCGCTGCCGCGGAGTCTTGCGAAGCGCAGCATCAGGTGGGTCTGCGCGGGGTGCGGAC